ACCCAGACACTCAATAGTCCATGGTGTCTTTTACCCAGCACTCAATAGTCCATGGGGTCTTTTACTTATACACGCAGTAGTCCACAGGGACTTTCTTCATCTCAGAAGTTGTTGGTATCTGAATTGGAGCCAACATACTCGTTGACCATCACTGACAAGCCATGCCTGTGTGTGCCATTTGGGACCAGGCCTGCCTACTGCTGCCTGAAGAACGTTTGCAATGCCTGTGTGGCTGTGCTGCAGACTGCTTGTTTGCTGTGGGTAGTGGTAGCAGAGGCATCCCTGACACAATGAGGAGAGGTTTTATACAAACACCTTAAATGCACCTTCTCACAGTGACACATTTTGTCTTCCCTTTCATGTGGTGGAATGCAATCTGCCATTTTGGTCTTGTAGTATGGCTCTGAGTAGGTGGGACAAAGTCTTTGGTGGAGTCTTCTTCAACTATGAGACAAGCCCCAGATCACAGGTAGAAGGCTATTGAAGTTATCTCCAAAAACATAGCACTTCTGTTTTTATTTGTTTTATTATGTTATTATTTATCTATTATTTCAGTTGGTGGAACTCAGAATGGAAGAAGAATGAGTGAGTGGCTGTGGAAGTCCAGATGGTGTCAAACATCAGGTAAAGGGGGTGTCCCTACAAAAAGGATTAGAAAGACAAGGACAAGGAGGGTGTAGCGGTGGATAACCCATGCTGGGGTCACTTACCTCAACCTTCACAATATTGTCATTTTAATACATTTTATTTTTAATTGTATTATTTGTTGTAATATTTTTAATGTTTTAGGCTGATGTCACACTGCTGGGTAATTTTAACTGACAATTGCGCGGTCATCCAACAATGCATCCAAATGAAATTTATGTCCTTTTTTCCCCACAAATAGAGCTTTCTTTTGGTGGTATTTGATTGCCTCTGCGGTTTTTATTTTTTTTTTGCGCTATAAAAAAAAAAATATATAAAGGCCGACAATTTTGAGAAAAAAAAAACAATGTTTTTGAAATTTTTCTATTAAACATGTCCAGTAAAAAAATTTTAAAAATCTAAATTTCTGCTACATGTCTTTGCTAAAAAATAATCCTAATACGTGTAAATTAATTGGTTCACGTGAAAGTTATAGCATTTACAAATGGCGGTGTAATATATATATATATATATATTTCATTTTAACTAGTAATGGCAGCGATCAGCGACTCAGGACTGCGGCGGGAATTCTGACACTGGGGGGAACTGAATTGGTGTCACCGACATCCACAGTGACACCAATACAGTGATCAGTGCTAATGAAAAGCACTGACACTATACTAATGGCACTGGGCAGGAAGGGGTTAACTTGGGGTGATCAAAGGGTTAACTGTGTGCCATCAGAGTTGCTCGGCAATCACGGACGCTGGAGAGTAATCACTGGGTGAGACTCGGTGAATGATAGCCGCGGCTGCGAATGGCGGCCCCTACCGGAAATGCAAAATCACGTATATGTTATTTTGCACTCCCGTGCCACCCTGTAGCAGTACTTCGGTTAATTGTGCACACAAACACATAATCCCCAAACAAAATCCCCGCAAAAAATGTAACCAAGCCTAGGCATGGTTTACTCTCTTGGTCTGGTTGGTTTGTGTAGTGTGAGTGCTCCAAACTGTGTCCAGAAACAGTTAATTGCACAATGGCTGGGACCACTTGGAAGAGGTAGTCCTGGGTACAGTTCAGTTGTGGTCCAGTGCCAGGGCCAGATCAAGGGGGGGTGCTGGGGTGGGCTGTGCCCTCTCAGGTCTTTGAGAGTGCATCCACTAATCCATGAGCCAGTCTGATGCAGATAGTTGATGCAAGGAGGCACTCTGATGCGGACATCCAATGTAAGAAGGCACACTGATGGGGACATCTAATGGGAACCTGATGTAAATGGGGACTCTGATGGGGACATAGAAGTAAGGGGGGCTCTGATGGGGACCCAGTTATGAAGTGGGACTCCTAAGATATACTCTGATGGGGACTGTGATGTACGGGGGCACTCTGATGGGACTAATGAACCATAGAAAATAGAAGCCTAAAGAATAATAATAGGTATCGCAGGCCGTACATAGTTTGCACAGTAACCAAAAAACCTGCAGCAAAAACCGTGAATAGAGATTCACAAAGAAAAGCGGTTACATAGAGGACATTGTCCTCTTAAGAGGGTATTTTCCACTATTGGGGTGATGGCTATTTGCAGTCTTGACTCAATGGTTCTCTATGTGCAACTTTTCCAATAAAGCATATCTTTGAATACTATTTAAGTATTGCATACAGTTGCAAGAAAAAGTATGTGAACCCCTTGGGATTACGTGGAGTTTTGCATGAATTGGGCATAAAAATGTACTCTGAATGTCATCTAAGTCACAACAATAGAAGAAACACAGTCTGCTGAACATAATACTACACAAACATTAGATGTTGCCATGGTTTAATTGCACATAACATGTAAACATTCACAGTGCAGGGAGGAAAAAGTATGTGAACCTTTGGACTTAATAACTGGTTGACCCTCCTTTGGCAGCAATAGCCTCAACCAAACGTTTCCTGTAGTTGCAGATCAGACCTGCACAACGATCTGGAGTAATTTTGGACCACTCCTCTTCACAAAACTGTTTCAGTGTAGCAATATTCTTGGGATGCCTGGTGTGAATCGCTCTCTTAAGGTCATGCCACAGAATTTCAATGGGGTTGAGGTCAGGACTCTGACTGGGCCACTCCAGAAGGCGTATTCTGTGCTGTTGCAGCCATTGTTTTGTTGAATTACTTGTATGCTTTGGGTCATTGTCCTGTTGCATCACCCATCCTCTGCGGAGCTTCAGTTGGCGGACAGATGGTCGTACGTTTTCCTGCAAAATGTCTTGATAAACTCTGGAATTCATTTTCCCATCAATGACAACAATCCATCCAGGCCCTGAGGCAGCAAAGCAGCCCCAAACCATGATGCTCCCTCCGCCATGTTTTACAGTGGGGATGAGGTTTTGATGTTGGTGTGCTGTGCCTTTTTTTTTCTCCACACATAGTGTTGTGTGTTCTTCCCAAACAACTCAATCTTGGTTTCATCTGTCCACAGTATATTTTGCCAGTAGTGCTGTGGAACATCCAGGTGCTCTTTTGCAAACTTCAAACGTGCTGCAATATTCTTTTTGGACAGCAATGGCTTCCTCCGTGGTGTCCTCCCATGTACTCCACTCTTGTTTAATGTTTTCCTTATTGTAGATGTGTCAACAAAAATGTTAGCATGTGCCAGAGATTTCTGTAGGTCTTTAGCTGACACTCTGGGATTCTTCTTTACCTCATGCAGCATTCTGCGCTGTGCTCTTGCAGTCATTTTTACAGGACAACCACGCCTAGGGAGAGTAGCAACAGTGCTAAACTTTCTCCATTTGTAGACAGTCTGTCTTACCATGGACACATGAACATCAAGGCTTTTGGAGATACTTTTGTAACCCTTTCCAGCTTCATGCAAGTCAACAATTCTTGATCGTAGGTCTTCTGAGAGCTCTTTTCTGCGAGGCATGGTTCACATCAGACAGTGCTTCTTGAAACCAGTAAACCCAAAACAGGTGTGTGTTTTTTAAGGGCAGGACAGCTGTCAGCAACACATCCAATATCATCACACTGATTAGAGTCAAGGTTGGCTCACTCCCGGCTCCAATTAGCTCTGGGAGAAGTCATTAAGCTAGGGCCTCACATACTTTTTCCTCCTGCACTGTGAATGTTTACATGTTATGTGCAATTAAACCATGGCAACATCTAATGTTTGTGTAGTATTATGTTCAGCAGACTGTGTTCTTCTATTGTTGTGACTTAGATGACGTTCAGAGCACATTTTATGCCCAATTCATGCAAAACTCCACGTAATCCCAAGGGGTTCACATACTTTTTCTTGCAACTGTATGTCCTCTATGTAACCGCTTTTTGTGAATCTCTTTTCATGGTTTTTGCAGCACTCTGATGGGAACCTGATATATAGGGGGACTCTGATGGGAACCTGATATATAGGGGGACTCTGATAGGGCCATCTGATATGGGGGGGGGGATTCTTTTTAATCACTCTAATCTAAAACAGCCTAATACATACAAGTGTTTCCCAAGTTTTCTTCAGTGTCAGTGCAAACCATGTCTGAGCACAGAACTCTTCATAGATAGATATCTGAGGACTGACTGAGGCAGGGATCATTTTTGGTATGGTTGGCAGAGGTGATGATGTAAGGCTAGTTTAAAGCTTAGCTAGTAATAGCATTGACTGCCACTTTAATGTCTCTATTCAGTAGTGCAGAAATAGTCTCTCTTCAGCCAACCAATTATTTAGATCAGTAATTTGAGCCCACGTTACTATTGTCTGTAAAATGATCAAATCCCAGGTGCATATGGGAACACTGATTTCCCAAAGTAGTATACACAATACTAGTAATAACGGTACACTTCATTAGGGGGCGGCATGGATAATTTAACCGCTATTATTTCCTATGCTTTTTATTTTTAGACTTTTCCATTATTTTTATATTCACTAACAGCAGGTGGTAGGGCAATGGTGGACACACACAATGGCAATACAGTAATGGAAAATAATAGAGTAATATGATACTTTCCATGGGAAAACATTACATCGGGCCAGATAACTTCCCTGGTAAATAGTGGTCTTCCTTGTTGATGATCATATATTGTAAACATTACTAGATACATTTGTGACTAATCTGTCTTAAGAGTTTTACAGCTCACACATCCTTATAAATGACAATTGCTAAACACTTAAAATAGTAGTAAACCCAATCAATAAAATGTCAACGTTAAAATGTAATAAATTTAAACTATAAAATTTTTTTATTCAATCTGCAGTTTTCATTAAAGTGGTTGTAAACCTCAGACATGAAATATGAACAAAGCATATCCCTATATACTGTGTGCTTGTATTAATCCAGAGCAAAAAAAACAAAAACAACAGAACATTTTGAAAAAAAAAAAACCCACGTTTTTCTTAGTTTTTGTTATAAATTTTGTAAATAAGTGATTTTTTTCCTTCACTGATGTGCGCTAATGAGGCTGCAGTGATGGGCACTGATGAGGAGGCACTGATGGGCATTGATAGGCATCACTGATGGGCACTGAAAGGCGGCACTCATAGGCAGCACTGATAGGCAGCACTAATGCGCACTGATAGGCGGCACTGACTGGCACAGATAGGTCGCACTGACTGTCACTGATAGGCTGCACTGACTGGCACTGATAGGTGGCACTGAAAGGCAGCTCAGATGGGCACTGATGTGGCATTGATGTGCACTGGTAGGCACTGATATGTGGCATTGATGAGCACCGACAGCTGGCTATGATGGGCACTGACATGTGGCACTGCTGGGGCTACACTGATCATCAGGGCACACTGATCATCACTGCACTGATGATCAGTGTACATGTCCCTTCCGAGGAATGCTGATTACTGGCTCTCCTCTCTCCTCTTGAGCTGTCATCGTCACCTCTGCCAACCATACCAAAATGATCCCTGCCTCAATCAGTCCTCAGATATTTATCTATGAAGAGTTCTGTGCTCAAAACACTGAAAAATAGTCGAATGTTTTACATACACTTTAAAAAAATAGGACCATTAAAAGTAATTTAGTGTCTGTAGGTTTTATATATTTACTTAATGTATAGTTAGCTGGCTGTGTGATCTCCTTTAGTTTTACCTGATAATTGTGGAGTAGGGGCTTAGTGTTGCCCGCAAAAGGAAGTGCTGTGACTGGCAGGTTCTTCAGGTAGAAAACTATGCAACAGTTTCATAGGAAATGGTTAGAACTACATTCAGTGACGTGGGGCTGGGGGAGGAGCCGGAACATGGCGCTGGCAGGACTCTAAGTTCGGTGCCGAGTGTGCAGTGGCCAGAGGTGCTCCCTCTCTCCTCTGGTCATGAGAGTACGGAGTGGCTGGAGCAAGGAGCAGTGGGTGCTGGGAGCGTCCTCGTGATGGCCCAATGGAATCCTGGGAGTTATGGAGAGAGACGGGGACAGAAGCAGTCCACAAGGATCTGAAACCGCCCCCCCCCCCGGGTCTCTGGAATCATCTGACATTGAGTTGAGAGGAGGAACCCCCGGTGTGGGGGCAGCGGAGCTCCCCTGGGAGACACTGAACGAGATGCTGGGAGATGCTGAAGGAAGGCACGCAAAGACCAGATAAAACCACAAGATACGGGCACCACGAGCCCCACGGTGGTGACCCCCTTTACAAAAAGACCTCCATCTGAATTGAGGTGATCACCTAAGCAGCAAGACCCCAAAACGGGAAGGAAAATAGATGGTGACGCCCGAAATCAGAAGGAAGGATGAGTGACTGTTTAAAGTGAAATCAAATGTCTGCATTTGTATCTGCATCTTAGTAACTATATAATGTATTGAAAACGGTGGACATTAATAATAAAGAAAAAGGAGGGAGGTCACCCAGTGGGAACAAAGGAGATATAAGTTAAATCACAATACTGACAATATTTATTTTATTGTAATAACCGATGTACCGGGCACGGGGGGAGGAGAGTATCTGCACTGGGAATTAAGCACAATTATTGAGTTTGAAGATATTGTTGCGAGGTGGAATTGGAAGGGGACATTATTAACAGCATGGAGGGCAGATCTGCAAAGTGGGGAGGTACAAAGACCCCTCAATCAAGTTAAAAAAAAAAAAAAAAAATCTTCCCCCACAGGACAAAAGTCCAGAAGGACATACCCCTGAGAGACAACAAGGAATGAGACGTAGCCATGAAATGAGAAATAACGCTGGAGACAGATCCAGAATGTCATTAGGAGTAATGAGTCTGAACCAGATTGAAGAATCAATAAACATTGATAATGCATTAGATTCCAGGAATACCAATGAACAAGAATTAAGGTCACAAATGCCAACAAAAATGGATATAGCTGAGATGTTCGCAAAACTTGAACACTCTATAAAAAAAATGAAATCGCTATATTGTGCAATGATATGGGACAAGTGCTACCACGAGTGGAAGAAATAGAAGGAAAAATTTAAAAACAAGCGCAAGTAATTATTAGGCTGGAGGCACAGATGGAAGAAATGCAAAGAGAACAGGAGAATAGCATATAACCTGGAAGACCAGGAGAATAGAGATAAAAGGAACAACTTGAGGATTAGGGTTTTCCAGAAGCGACATCAAGAGAAGATCTACAAGAGGAGATAATGAAAATTCTCAATTCATTAATAAATAGATCTGTGACAGAACACCTGAAAAGAGATAGGGCACACAGGGTTAAGCGGCCTCAAGGGGCAGCGCTGGAGGCCCTCAGAGATGTTATTGTACGATTACTTCACTATGAGGATAATGCAAATATTTGGAAGAAGCTACGGGGAATCTCAGTGGTAAAACATGGAGAAGCAAGTCTGCAAATTTTTTTTTTCACATCTTTCCTCTTTAAAGGATAGGCATTGGGAAGCTCAATATGTCACTTATTTTCTATGACTTAAAGAGTGGGAACAGAGTCCTGGACGATGGGTGTACGTGTTTTGAGTCTTATCCCAAGGGGGAGTCAATTGGGGATTTACCACTACAGATTCCAGGGCTTAGATATGGGCCAAATGGGTTTAAAATAGGGAGGGAGATGGATAGGTGATAAGCGAGGAAAATGGACCACCTGGTAGAAATCTAGTGTTTCAAATGTATTATATGTAGATCTCCAGATACAAGGATCTGACAGGGGGGAAGGAAGGAAATTGGGTGGAGAGTAGAAGTACAGGAGGGTTGATAGGAATGCTGTAAATTTAATGACCTAAAATGTAAAGGGCCTGCATACCCTGGTAAAAAGACAGAAGATTCTCAGGGAAATTTATCAATACTCAGCTGATGTAGTCTTTTTCAAGAGAGACACATTTAGCCCAGAATTCAAGAATTGTTACAATCTAGAAATTATCCGGTTTGGTATTATGCGGATTCCCCAATAAAACGGGCTAAAGGAGTAGTAGCAATAGGAATGGCGAAAAATGTCAGATTCATAATAGAAGATAGGAGGATCCCGAGGGTCGGTTCTTATTTTTAAGGGGGAAACTGTATGAAATGGAATGTACTCTTACTAATATATATTGCCCTAATAAGAATCCAATGATTTACCCAGAAGAAACCCGGAGGGAACTGATGGATTTTAAGAAAGAGGTATTGATTGTGACAGGAGATTTTAATTTTTGTATGAACACTCAGATTGATACATCGTCGCGTGGACAGAGAGATGGAGGTAGAGGATTGAGAGCTATTATAAAGAAGCTGTACTAATATCAATTGGTGGACGTATGGCGAGTTAAACACGCAGGAATGAGAGATTACACATTCTATTCACCTTCACACGTGACTTATTCTAGGTTGAATTACATAATGGTAGAGCATTGATTATTAGAGTCAGTTATGGAATCCAATATAGAAGTTGTAGCTATCTGATCATGCTCCTGTCACGGTGAGATTGAAAGTGAGTGGGGTGCAGAACAAAGCATATGCATGAAAATTAAATGAGACACTCATTCAAGATCAAGAGACAGAAAAGAGAATATGAGAGGAGATAGAACAATTTTTCCTAGCAAATGAAATGGAGGGAATGTCCACAGCCACAGTTTGGGAGGCACATAAGGCGTATATAAGGAGCATCCTGATTGCTATAGGAGCGGAAAAAAAAGAAAATAAAAGAGGTCAGAAAGGAAATAGGTTAATAGAGGAATTATTCACACTGGAGCAATCGCATGAAAAGAGAATAGAAATAGATGTACAACATAATATTGTTATAAAAAGAGAAGAATTAAGTAATGTACTACAACAAGAAACAAACAAGGTCTATAATAGAGTGCTTAGAGAAAGAGATAAATGGGGAAATAGACCTGGAAAATTCTTGGCAAGGTTAGTGAGAAAAAAGAAATCAATAAATTATATAGAGAAAATCAGAAATGAAACAGTAGAATTAGTATACCCAATTAAAATAATTGCTAGTGTATTTAAAAAATATTATAGTTCCTGATATGCAAAAGAAAGATCTGGAAGGAGAAAGAAATAAAAAAATCCATACATATTTAAAAAGAGGTGGGATTACTTAGATTAGATAAAGAAAGATGGGTAATGTTAGAGAGACAGATAACACAAGAGGAAGTGCAAAATGTACTAAGGAGTACAGCAGCAGGAAAGAGCCCAGGACCAGATGGATTCACAGTTAAATATTATAGGAAATTCAAAGAACTATTAGTGACAAAAATGGGTATTTACTGTATATGAATGCACTGGGAGTAGGAGGACAAATGAGGAAAGAGTTGTTGATGGCACATATTACAATTTTTCCAAAAGAAGGTAAAGATCTGTTGCAATGCACCAGCTACAGACCAATCTCATTATTAAATGTAGATATGAAATTATATGCTAAAGTTATTGCTAATAGGTTGAAAGGTTTAATGCCGGAACTGATACACCTAGTTGGGTTTATACCGGGAAGGGAAGGTAGAGATAATGGACTGAGATCATTATTACTCTTACAAAAAAGCAAGAAAGAGAAGTCCCCAGTGGTATTCCTGTCGATAGATGCTGAAAAAGCTTTCGACAGGTTGGATTGGGGATTTATGATGAGCACCCTAGAGGCAATAGGGCTTGGGCCCAAAATGTTTCAATGGATAAAATCTTTGTATTGTCACCCGTCAGCAGCAATGGAACAAGGCAGGGTTGTCCACTTTCACCTCTTTTGTTCGTGTTAACTTTGGAACCACTGTTAGCAATGATAAGGAAAAGTGTAGACGATATGCTATTTTATGTAGTCAATCCTAGAACAACACTGCCAAATTTAATACAATCGTTAAAATGGTATGGAGAACTATCAAATTTTAAAATAAAAATTGTACAAAATCGGAGAACTTTGATATTAATATGCTGAAAGTGGATAGACAAGCACTACAAGTCAAACTTCCCTTTACATGGCAAGGTAAATAGTTAAAGTACCTAGGAGTAAAGTTAACCCCGTCAATTAAGAGTATCTATCAAGCAAACTATATACCATTATTGAATGAAATAAAAGAGGAGTTGAAGAAATTATCAAAAGGCTCTGTGTCCTGGATAGGTCGAATTAATATGGTTAAATTGGTGGTACTCCCTAAAATCTTGTATAAATTCCAAATGCTTCAAATTTATCGAAGAGTTATTAATATTATTATTATTATACAGTATTTATAAAGCGCCAACAGTTCGCTCAGCGCTGAGTTTCTTAGGGTATTAAAAAGAATGATAATGAGATATGTATGGATGAATAAAAAAACAAGGGTGAAATATGAGGTCTTATATAAAGATAAAATAAACGGGGGATTAAATATGCTAAAGATTAAAAGATATTATTATGCAGCAGTCACGG